ATGGTTTGTTTTTGACTATTTTACGAACAGTTGAGAAAGGAATTTCGGTCAAATCTGATATTGCTTGTAACAGTTTGTTGCCCTCGAAACCAAACTTGAGATGTAGATTCTTATATACATTGAAACATACTCTCTGTGTTTCAATATTCAAATGCATACGAATCTTATTCACTGGTATCTCTTTTTCGCATTGTTCGCCATCTCTATTGGAATCACTTCACTGGAAAAGTCTGTGTTGTTATCCCACTCGTTATTACTATCAGTATTTACAGGAAAATATAGTGTTACTTCACTTCACAGCAATCTTATTGCTATTCTAAGAGTGATTCACGGTATATATTTATCACTTTTATATGTTCGTTATCACTACGACATTCACAAAGGCTTTTTTTTTTGTGTTCAGTTCCCACGAATCGTTTCCATGAATGAAAATTGGTTGTTCTCATTTTGTTACTTCTTTGGAACTGCATCTTTTACCTTTATCGTTCGGTTTCTGTTTGTTTCTCCCGGTTTATTCTATAGATGTTTCCAGGTATTCAAATTTCTTAGGTTTTCTTTTTTTATTGAATGATCAAATTGAGTGTTGTTTTCTTTTCCGACATGTGTAAATAACAGTAAAAATAAATATTATACCTATTGATATTCTACAATAAATTACTTCGATGAATTCTCATGTTTATGTTATCTTCTTAATGTTTTGCATACACAAATAGGTTTTATATCAATATCAAATATTTTTTTCTCTATATTTGTTGCAAGTTTCGTCTACCAAGTGAACTAGTTAAGAAAGAAATTTAATTTGTTGTCTAAATTTAATTGCGGATTTAATGCCGTTCCTGTCTTTACATTAATAAAGAACCGTTTCCTTACATTCTAAAACATTTCTGAAGTATTTCGACATAGGTCTTCTAAAAACGCAAACTATAGATTCCACATTTCAGATATTTTTACAAGGAAATTAAGGGCCAATAAATTTGGAGATTATGGAGATCATTCAATGCTGCCTCTTCTGCTAATCCGGTGCTGTTGAATGTCTTGGCCACAATCAACACCGCCCTGTTGATTTTTCCTCAGGACGATGCTCCTCCTGTATTTGCACCAATATGGAAAATAAGAGAAGAGACACCATTGAATGGTCTCCACTTCCATTAGAATTGTCGGCCCATGATATCTTTTTGTGTGGAAGAAAATTCTATAAATCTCAACCACTATGAATTTGAAAGAATATTTTTAACAAAACGTTTGAATAGACGCAGGAGATCATTGAACATTTGATAAACTACTTGGAGAACAACCAGAATAAAAATACTATCTCTCGATCCGTGTTTCGCTAACCAAGCTAGCATCAACCAAGTTAATTAGGAGAGTTTTGTTCATATCCTGATGATGCTAACTTGGTTAGCAAAACGGGCGTCGGGAGGTGGGATTTTTGTTTTGGTGAAGAAGTGTTTTCTATAGATTCATTTCACGCCTCTGGTTCAAAATTCCGCTCATCAAATGTAAACTATAAGGTAGAATTTTAAATTTTTTGACTACTGTGAACTCACTCCACCCCCCTGAAATGTATTATTCTCAACCTCGCTTGAGGTACTGATGGTGGAGTCACAAAAGAATGCAAACTTTTTACGTTTTTCTGAAATGTAGACGCAGTCATTGGTGAAGGCTCTCTTTGGTTTACGTTTGGTCACTTTGTAATATATTTGTCAGAAGTTTTTTTATGAAAATGCTTTATGTTAGATTAATTTCATCATTTGAAACAATAATGAAATCGTGATCAATAATTATCATCAGTAAAAAACAAAACAAAGGCATGTCTTTGTTCAAGTGCTTATTTAAACTGATGGGTACTTAAATATTATTATAAAACTGTGTTTTTATTCATTGATATGTTGTTCAAACAGAAATTAATTTCATTCGGTTGAAGGAAGAATAGAATACATACAGTGAAGTTATCATATATGTACGTTACTCAACTATTAGCATTGTCAGCAACCGCGATAAGGATGAAAATTAGAGGTTGGGGTCGCTCAATTAATCAGCGAACAAATCCAAAACTGAATAATTGTTGCTTCCACCAAAGTATAAATGACTCACCTTTGAATTCACATGTATCACAAAACAATGATCTGAGTACTACGTGTACTCAACTTGCAAATAAATGAAATTAAAAACAGTGCTTTGAAAAACAGTTTAATGCTGATAATGTTGTCGAATTTCAGATTTGAAAAAGATTCCTCAGTCAATCACACTTATTGCGATAAATGGGACATTCAGATACAAAGTATTATGAACTTCGTTCAACCAGAGCACGCTGTCTAGCATGATCATTTTGATATAATCACACTAAGCCTTTGTTTACACAAAATTTATCTCGCCCCAATTTCTTATCTTATCAAATATAAAAATGGGAATTTTCGGCTAGTCAAAATATAATACTTATGTATGAAAACCAAATATTTGCCATATTTTTATCGGTACCGATCTCGAATAATTAATCGGTTTACATCCAACTCATTTACAGGATGGTCTTATACAGAGTACCTAGCAGAATTGGTTGTAGGAAGTAATGGAGTTTTCTATGTGTTATCCGCAATGACGATGACCAATAAGCTTTAATAAATGTATGTGGTTTGTATATTCAGATACTTCCTCCACTTAATATTGATATAAAAAAACCTCACATCATTTTGTCATATGCATTTAAGAGAATTGCAAAGGTTGCTTTTCAAAAGCTTGAAACACTGCTCTGAACCAGAAAACTGTAGCTCAGAAACTTTTGATGCTTTATAACGCTCAGATCAGACCTTCTTTGGAGTATTGTTCTCATGTATGGAGGTCCGCCCCTGAGCATACCCTGAAGCTACAGGATTAAATCCAGGACCACCCGCCTGATTGGAGACGCGAACATGGCTTGCAACCTTGATAGTTGGAGATTTGTCTCTCTTGCACATTGGATTCCACCAAGAGCGGTACATAACCGTACATAACGAGAGAATGGCTAACTTTTTGTTGAATTTTAAGATTCTTACTGACTGCCAGCACGGTTTTCGTAAAGGCAAGTCCACACAGTCAGCTGCCTGTAGTTTTGCTGAAATCATCTATAACTCCCTAGACAATGGTATGCACGTGGCAGGAATATTTTTTGACCTCTCACGTGCATTTAGATATTTTATCTTAATGTATGTTTATTTTCTTTATACTATTTTAACGTGTTGTACTGACATGTCCTATACGTTGTTAACATCTCAAAGGATAAATAAATAAAAAAAATAACCTCCAGTGATTCAAATCCAATATGATTTGCTGTGCACAGGCACCGCTCTTAGAGCGTCTTTAATACTTTTCTGTAGTGCTTCAAAATGGCAAATAGATAGAAATATTATGAGTGGATTGTGTTCAACTTAAGCGAGAACAGGAACAGACAGGTAAATGTTAAGAATGCCTTAGCAATAACTTAACGGACTTCTACCCGGAAACTCTTCCGTGTTAATTAATTCAAATAGCATCAGTTTTGATATTAATGATCATTAATAGTCGATGGAGGAAATGGTGATTAACCAACTATATTTAAACTTAATCGGTCGAGAGTTTTTCCAGTTTTTTACAATTGAAATTGTGACATCTACTTTTTTCGATGCTAGCTGACTAGGACGTAAAAGCAACTTGAAATATCTTCGAAATGAAAAAAATTCCGCAACCGATAAGCTCTGATTGATTACTTACATATACAGTATACAGGAAATAGCGACAATTTTTTAGCTGAACGCATTATTATCATCTCGGAAATGGAAATTATGAGTTTGTTTAAATAACACAGGATCAGAGATGAAAAATTAAAGATATGCAGTAAGGCCGGCCGTACACTGGCAAATTTTTGAAAGAAGTAGAAAGTAATTGAGCTTTTGTACTAAACCTAATTGCAGATACTCAACATGCCGATAAAAATTATTTTATGAATCGATAATTATTATCAGTTCAATTTTATCTGAAATGAAATTAGATACGTCAAATTATTTTGTCAACTTTTGAAGGTAAAACATATTGGTTGAAATAACTGAACAGTCTGAACATGCATAACAAAAAATAAATTAAAAACAAATTGATAACTGTCTGAAAGTTTACATAAATTGATAACTAATTTAGAAAGCTCTTCCTAAATTTGACAAGCTGTAATAGGGTAAAATCTGTATTTTTTCCAGAAGGTATTTGAATTTTTTGGTTCGAAGTGGAGGGCATCTGTCATAATCTGCTTACCACCTTCCTCAGGAAAACTGAGATAGTTTAATTGACATTACGTTTTTTACCAATTTGCAAAGTGACGTTTCGTTCATTGGATTTCATCATCGACTTTTTTTTCATCGATTCAGTTTGTTAGTATAGTGGCTACAAAAATCGATGATAGAAATTTGACGCGCCCCACAATTTATTTTTACTATTTTCTTTTTGATAATGGTATGTATTTATTTTGTCAAGAGGCGACACATCCACGAGTAGAAACCTTTCTGATTGAACACCAATGCATTGAAGAAATACGCCATTATTTGTTTTTTTTAGGGAATTCGAAATATTAATATTGTTATATTGATACTTTCAGTAGTGTTGACGTACTCAGCTGTTTTATTCTCTTCACTTACTCATTCTTCTTCCTCGTGATTGTTCTTTACTGACATTTGAGCCGGAAAGAGCTGTCGTGATTCAGCAGAATACCGCTGGGAAGCCCTAAGGCCGAAACACTGCTTATACTCTTACCCTTCTTACCTTTTAAATTTCAACATTCACACAGACAAGATCGTTATAGTCACCAAGCTCATCAACTGAAAACTGTGTAGCCAACCCAAGCACCATCAAGGTCTCGGGAGAAACATAAATTTCTCGAGACATTAAATATGCGAAATTTAGCACACATTTATTCCGCAGTGCTTCTACTGAAACTGTTTATGTTTAGAATGAGCTTATCTTTTGAAACGCACATACACGTGCCATGAAATGATTCATTTCGATAATTTTTTTAAAGCGAAGTTTCGTATTTGTTTTTTTAGTCTCCTTTGTGAATCCGAGTAGAAACTATACCTACAGTGCGAATTTGAATAAAGTACCTCTAATGTCGAAGAGCTTATTGGTTAACTAGAATAACTAATATAATAACAGTTAAGTTTAATTTAATAATCACTCAGTAGGTATCAACAGTGCGAAAGTATTTAATGCTGGCTAAAAATATAACTTGATGGAGTTACGGAAAAGCGCTATTAAGTTCTGTTCCTTACATCATTTTTGGTGAGTTCTGAACATTTATTTATTTTTTTATGAATCCCACCAACTGTTTTAAATCAACTAATTTTTCGATATCGGATTAAATTTAAAACATTTCAGCAGTTGGGCTAATTGTTCACATTTAGTTTTTGTTTTATATGGGATTTTTATTCTCTACATTGTGAGTGCTTCTGACATTAATGAGAAAATGGTCGAATTTAACAAATGGTATTAATAAACTTCGTTATTAAGGAAATTTTGACGACAGTTCAGTGTTAACCGCACTGTAATGAAAAAAAAAACTGGAATACAGGAACAATTTTGCATAAGTCCTTTGTGTCCATCCCTTGGTTTAAATAGAAAATGCAGTGATTACTGTGTTGATGTCCCTGTACTAAGATGCATCAGTTAATGTGTATTTCTAATTTAGATACACCTCAGAAAAAATATAAAGAAATGAAAGGACCTCACTTGAACTTCTCAGTTGAACTTCTATTGACATATGTATATCAAAACAAAGGAGTGCATAACATTTCACGACAGCCGTGATATTTAAACAAAAGGTTTCTTATACACGTGCACCGAGCATTGAGGATGATTCGTTCATGTTGCGCAATAAACAGAGTCAAGTGTAATGTGGGCGGTAATGTTGCGTTGAATAATTTTCAACTGATGTAAGTATTCTTTAAAATAAAACCCATTCATTATTCCTAATGAGAATATATCTTGAACTCTGATATTTTCAAGTTGTTTGTGTGAAAAATATCTGAAGCAAAAATAGTGAGAGGGTGAATCCCAAATCTTTATTGCCTATTATCAAAATTTAAAACTACATTCTATAGTAGGGGAGCTCACGATGCAAAATGGGGAATTACTCGAGCGTCATAGAGACATATTATGTTGCAAAGCTCAGATGATAAGAAGAAAAAAATGTTACATAATATATAACTTTTCATCGGTGGGGGAAGCGGCTATAGATTTTTAAATATGCAAAAAAATACTGTTGCATGGACATACTCGAGCGCGTCAGATATTGATAGCATCAATGTCCTACGTATTTTTAATAATGTTCGTATGTTAATCTGATCATTTGCATGATGCGGGTGGTTGTACGTAAGGGTTAAAAGTAATAAGAATAGATTTTATTTTTGATTTATCTTGACACAAACATAAATTCAGCTCAATTGTTTTTAGAATATCTTGCGACTGGCAGAAATTTAACTCGAATTATCTAAAAGAACGATTCGTTTAGGCCAGTCCCAGACTGTAGGTTAATGGACTGAACCTATCAGAAAACAACTTGGCTAATACCACGAAGGGTGTTGGATTACACACACTTGCAGACAGGTTTCCGGCTGTTTGGCCACTCGTCAGTACAAGGTAGTGTCTATCATCAACATAAAGTCGATGATTTCCGATAATTGAAAATCGAATTCCTTCAAAGTATCATTCCTCGAACTATGCTGAAGCGAACGACAAACAACATGTTTGTCATCGCCCCATCTGATTGTGAACGAGGTAACCAACCTCATATCCAAAATTTGTTCAATTCCTCGTATAAGGAAGAAAATGTCAGAAATTGAGTGGGCATACTTGGAGACTGGCTGTAAATCAAATTATCTAAAAGAACGATTCTTTCAGGCCAGTCTCAAATTACTTACCTACACTGTAGGTTGGTTGTCGTTCGCTTCAGCCTAATTCGACGAATCATACTCTGAAGGAATTCGATTTTCAATTATCGGAAATCATCGACTTCATGTTGATGATAAACACTACCTTGCACTGACGAGTGGCCAATCAGCCGGAAACCGGTCTGTAAGTGTGTTCCAAAAATTGGAAATCGATTGCGGCAGTTGTATCTCCAACAGCATATAATACAGAAGAATACATCCAGTCTTCAAGTTGCCCACTCAATTTGTGAAGGAATTTAACTTGTGATAATTGATTCGCAAGTTTTGATTTGATACGTTCTTCATAGCTTCATCATCGGTCAACACACAAAATTTTGAACAAATGAAAAAAAAAGAGGGAACTTCCACCAGAATTGATTCAAACTGGAGCACTTTCCGTATATTATTCGTTATTTGGGTTCACAAAATTTGCCAAGAAGTATTAGAATATCATTCTTGGGTCTAATTAACATCACGATGATGCTATGGACACAGGTTCAATCATATTAATCAGATATCGTAACCTGCATTTCCACCAAAGGTTGGGATGACAATCTGTTTAGAAAAAATATGTTTTTCCGTTAACCAGCTGTGGCACCCCTATAAATGACAACCCTCAGAAGTCGAAACTTGTTCGAGCTAAATATTACCTTTTAACGTGTGATTCCTAACACGGGTTGGACGATAGCAAGTGAAAATTGATCGTGCAGACTAGGGCTTGAACCATCGACCAACACAGCAGTCAATTCGAGTGAGTGAACAAAGCACCCACGCCGAACCGCTTGGCTACCGACTGTGTGTTACTTGTGACGTATCAAAGAATGCTAAAAGGTGGTCAGTTGTCCTACTCGTATTTGACCTAAATAGTCGCTATCTAGAAAAATGTTCCTTTAGCCATCCAGTAGATAAAAAATTACTGGAACATCTACCTACAAACTTTCGTGGAAAATATTGCCCCGGGTACAAGGAAATAGTTGTTATTTTTGCAAAAAATATAACAACACAAGATTCTTCTGCAGAACATGCAAAACATACGTTTATCTAAAACACATTAAAGTTGCATGATCCACGTGTATTGTGTATTAATTCTCGTGTTATTGATTCTCGTTTGTATCCACTTCATAATTACAAGTGTGTATGGATGTTTGTTTAGTCCACGACTAACCATATGGTTCAATGAAAGTTAGGAGCAAACTATCGCCTCTTAAAATTCTTCTACCGATAGTATCGTCAAAAATCTAGCCCCAAAAATCGTATCAGGTCAAAAGTAAACTTAGAATGAGCAAAAGTGAAAATCTGCATAAAAGTATTGTGGATAAACAAGCTATCCAAACATCACATCAATGTTGATACTCTTTAACATCGAAAGATGGTTGGGAACTTTTCTATGAATATTCTATGTATATTCTTAAATGCAAAGTGTTCAACTGGCTCAGCCCGCTTGATTCCACCGAGAGGGATGTCAGTAGCAAGCTACAGCTGCCTATCGCTTCGAGTTACAACTCAATACACCTCGAACATTTATTTCAAAAAGACGGTGTCTTTTTGAAATAAACTATAGGAGACGGTTTTCTCAAATAAATTTAACTAGGGTGCTTTAAATCCAAGGTAAGATGCAATTTGAACAAAGGCAGTGCTATCGGAAGGTCTTTAAAATCAACCGCGGCATTACTAGTGCAACCCGACTTTTTTTCTTTGGTTTCTTGAAAATTTTCGAAACAATCATTTTTTTCTCCATGAATAATAATAATAGTGTACCTATAGTTCAACAGAAAATACGATTAAGTTGAGTTATTTTTATTCAATTTGATTACAAATCCGAATTTAAAAATCCTTTTATTTTCCTTTACTACAAAATCAAATACACCCTTTGTAAAAATACCTTGTTGAAATAAAAGCTTGTAAAAATTTATGGAGTGGATACTTACGAGAATCAATAACCGAGAATTAATATATACACGTGGATCATGCAACTTTAATTTTATTCATATTTTTTGAGGTTTTTTGAGAATTAAGTTCATTCATTTTGTTTATTGATAAGTACAATAAATAACGTCATATTTAATGTTTACTTGTGACGTATATATACACTAAGTAAGACATCGACACCATACTAATTACTAGAGGTGATAATTTCTGTGGATATTTAGAATTCAATTATGTATTGTGATATTTTTCTTTATAATCAAATTCAAAAGGAAATGGAGATAAGATTAATTGCTCGTAGGCAGAAAGAATAGTAAAACATAACTAGTTTTTTTACAATCAGAGGTCAAAATGCTGGACTATTCGCATGAAAATTTATTCTGTAGCAAAAAATAACTCTTATGACATACTAATAAAGTGTGTGCTACACAAAAATTGATGATTTTGTGAAATACTAAGTACTTTCTACAAAAGTAGATACAAAATAATTTTTACAAAAGTACAATTTTTTTTCATGAAACATGCCATATAGTTTAACCCTCTTTCAAATGAAAAAAAAACAGCAAAAAATTGGTGTCAGTGATATTCAATATAGATGAAAGTTTATATATGAAAAAAAAAACCTAGTCAAACATTCCAGACAGAAGTTTATTGTAAATTCATATGAACTAATGTGCACGTACCTACAAAAATAATCATGACAGTATCTTTATAAACTTCGTGTACACTATTGGAAAACTTCAAAAGGTAAGACGACGAAAAGCGATGGGTTTGGGATTTAAAAAAAAATAGAAGACAAGACAAAGGACGAGACGAAAATTTTTTGTATTGGCGTCAACATTAGGATAAAGTAATTTTATTAGATGTATTCTGCAATATAGAAGTTCCGATTCTACTTGTCAATGTAAAGTTACTGAAAAATATCAAGATTTTCGTGTGCGATATGCATATTTGAGGTATACATATTTTGAAAACCTGCGCAAACTTCCAGTTTAATAATGTTTTTTCATTATTACCATTTTTATTATTATCATATATGTTCAGTGATTGAAAAAATATATTTTTCTTGATTCTCTAGATCCCAATATTTTTCTTCAGAAAATCTATATCTGGCTAGAAAAAGTATTTTTATTCGATCTTTTCCATTTATTTCAACCTAACAATCGCAATGTTCACACACAAAGAAATTTCACGTTAAATATTGATTTTCCTCGACAATCCCTTTCTGTTATTTAGAGAGCCCGGCCACATTTACTAATCGGCTTGGGGGATGTTTCAGTATCTAATGTCAGCCCTCACAAGGCGTATCCAGGGTGCACGTGTGGCCTTTCTGTTTACTGAAATTTTACATACAATAAACAACTCGAAACGTTAGGATGGGTTAGGCAGACGAGGTGTTGATACTACGAATTTGGAATTTAACTTTAT